AATATTTTTAATACAAGACATCAGAATAAAGTGCTTTCCCTCCAATTATGGAAAAACTCTAATATACAGACAACACTACAACCTTGTTTACGCTATCATACTGAAATGAAAGTCAATAAATGAAAAAAGCTTACCAGTTTGGCTAGTGTAAATGGTAAATGTTTTGGCCAAAATCTTTCCTTGTTTTACTTCAGCATCTTCATCATCATCTTCAGATGAGGAGCTAAATTGGTCTTCAACTAGCTTTTTTGCTGCAGCCTGATTAGCCTTCTTAATTTCATCAAATTTCCTCTGTGAAGATAATTCTATTAAGAGAGCAGATTAATGATGATTAATACCGTGACAGTTAATCGTAACACCAGATTCAGTTCTACATACTTTCAACTGTCCTTTTCTTTAGAGAGCTTGCTGATTTTCTGTTTTTAAGGGCAGTATGTCGCTACATTTTCAATACTACACAAGAAGATATAAATTGCATTTTCTTCTTATCCGTGCATTATCCATAAAATTCACAGCAGAACTCACTATCTGTCAATTACTGGTGACAAATCCAACCAAATATACTAGAATACATACATCTATAACGCAGCTTTACTAAAACGATATTTAAAAAAAAAAAAAAACACGCCACACACAAACACAACTTTCACAGCATGAGGAAGAAAAAAATAGAAATTAAAAAAATCAGGCAATTCTTGACAAGACTAATTGTTATAATTTGCTGATACCCTACAGGTACCTCTCCCAGCATTTGCTACTTTTTAAATTATGACTTTTATTGATCTCCCTCCATCCAACAACTCTTCATTGCAATAGTGGGTTCATGCTATTTCTACAGCTGGCAACGTTAAAAGTGACAGTGTATTTTTACATAAGCTTTTTAAGAAGTTATTGCACGTGAAATAGAGGAAGAGTCTCACATGGACAAAAAAAATTATGAAACGTAACCGAGTTCATAATAAACCAAAGTGCCTTTAGGATAACACACCACGGAGATAGAAAAGTCTTCAACAAACCACAGGTCTTAAAAGTACCTCCTAGTTTTCCATGTCAGACTGTTGCACGCAATACATTTCCTGGGGTTTGGTCAAGTTTTAAGGCTTTCCTTCAGAAACTGCGCTGCCGCTTAAAAGAGCGCAATATTTGGCGAAATGCCTGGGAAGCGTTTCGTGAGCACGGCCGTGCGCCCACAGCAGCCTCGTGCGCGGCAAAGCCCGCGCCTTCCCCGCGGCGGGGCAGTGTGGCACACCGACCAGGCCACCTAACGTTTGTCCCTAGCGGGCAGCACCCTCCTCAGCGTTTCCAGCCGTACTGACAAACGGCTGCTCCGTCCATCGCTTCACCCCTTCACTCTTCTGCTCGAAGGGCACCGACCGTGGCCCCTGGGGAGGACGCAGCCCCGAGCCCCCAGCCGCTGCCCTAGGCCTCCGCGTTTGCCCCCAGAAGGGACCCGCAAGCAGGAGACGGCGCAGGGCCAAACGCCGGCTCCCTGCCGCCGAGCAGCAAGGGAGCGGGGCCGGGGCCCGCCGGCCACGCGAGGGCCCCCCGCCCGCCTCCCTTCCCCACGACGCCGGGGACAGCCCCGACCCGGGCATTCGCAGGGGCTCCCCGAGGCCCGGCTGGGCTCCGGGCCACAGCCGGCTCCCCAGCCCAGGACCCCGCAGCCCCCGGCCGGGCCGGGGAAAGGGGGGGGGGGGAGGACGCGACACTCACCGCTGGCCCCCTCGCCGCTGCTCCCCGCGGCCGCGACGCAGGCACCGCCGCGGGCCCTCGGGGCCGGGGGC